CCTCCTCCTCCCCTCCTCCCCTCCTCCTCATCCTCCTCCTCCTCCTCCTCCTCCCCTCCTCCTCCTCCTCCTCCCCCTCCTCCTCCTCCTCCTCCTCCTCCTCTCCTCATCCTCTCCTCCTCCTCTCTCCTCCTCCTCCTCCTCCCCTCCTCTTCCCCTCCTCCTCCTCCTCCTCCCTTCCTCCTCTTCCTCCTCTCTCCTCCTCCTCCTCCTCCTCCTCGCCTCCTCCTCCTCTCCTCCTCCTCCTCCTCCTCCTCCTCCTCTCTCTGCTCCTCCTCCTCCTCCCCTCCGCCTCCTCCCCGCCTCCTCCTCATCCTCCCACTCCTCCTCCTCCTCCCCTCCTCTCCTCCTCCCCTCTCCTCCTCCTCCTCCTCCTCTCTCCTCATCCTCCCTCCTCCTCCTGCCCTCCTCCTCCTCCTCCTGCTCTCCTCATCCTCCTCCTCCTCCTCCTCCTCCTCATCCCCCTCCTCCTCCTCCTCCTCCCCCTCCTCCTCCTCCGCTTCCTGCTCCTCCTCCCCGCCGGTCCGCCCCGGACCTTCTTTCAGCGTCGTTGGCGCTGGCGTCCTCAAGGGTCGATGGTCCTCAGGACGCGTGTTGGCGCCAACGTGCACCCACCGAGGCCCTCCACCGCGACGAAGGCGACGTGATGATCGACGAGTAGGGCTGAACGGGGTAAACACACACACACACACACACACGTTGGGCAAGCACACGTCCTGAGGATGGGGGCTCTCGGATGCTCCTGGCTGGCAAGGTCGGCCTACTCCTCAGCCCCGACGTGAGGCGTCGTCGATGGGAGGAGGTGCGAGGCACTGACTTGTCCGTGGCCGCCGCCTGGGAGGCGACTCCCTGGGGCCCCCGCGGGCGATGGATGTGGACACACGCTGGCCCCCGGGGGGCCCGAGCGTATCCACGTCCACCGCCCGTGGAGGTGCGCGACCGATCGACCCAGCAGGCGGTGGTGGTGGAGAAACCCCCGCCCCGGAAGAGGGGGGGTCCTCGGATGCCCCCAACTGTGCGCCCAGCAGATCCGCCTTTGATGGGCCCCGTGGCCCGATGACGGGCCCCGGCGGCAGAAGGAATCTTGGAGGCCTGGAACTTGGCACCAGCACCAGCACAGGGGATTGCCTCCACATGGAGAAGATGATCCCTGATCTCGGTGCTGGTGGCAAAGCTTCGGCCACCTTGGAAGCCTGAATTACTACCACCACCACCGAGATCGGGATCGGCTTCCCTCAGTGGAGGCACACCGCCGATCTTTCGGGGGCGGCTAAGAGGACCAGGGACGTGATGAAATAAGAAGAGACGCCATGAAATCTGGGGAAATGTCATGGCCCACGCCATGCTACCCACCCACCCTGAGTCATCACCCCCCTCTTATGGCCGCCCCCGAACCGTGGTGCTGGTGTCAACCTCTGGACCTGCGAACATTGAGGCGGCGCGCGCGGCCGGGAAGCCGCACGCCGTCGGAGCCCCGGGCCCCTATCTGAGCATTTTCCTAGGGTGGAGGGCTCAGGGTGAAATCCACATGGGCTTTTGCACCTCGAGAATCAGTCCGTCTTGTGACTCACCTTTCGCAAACTCAAACCTCGAAAATCAATCGAAACTCGGGTCGGGCGAAAGGGGGGGATAGCAAAGGGGGGGGGTGAGAATCAGCTCACGGAGCTGATTTTCCCGGCGCCTCCCGGCGCCGGAGGCGGCCATGTATCGAGGAATGGGCCCCTCGGTGAGGCCGAAACCAGCTGCATGCAGCAGATTTCGTAACCCCCCCTTTCCGTCCCCCCCTCTCGTCCGGCCCGAGAAACGGCATCTCAGATCTCACCCTCTGCCCTCCGCCCGAAGAACAGGCTCGGCCTACCTTGGGCCCAGCAGGGGGCACACATCGAGGATGACAGTGTCGCCCGAAACGGCGACAGCTATGACACTGTCTCTCACAGAGGCCCCAAAAGTGCCGCCACAAAGCACTGGCCGTCGCTCGGACGTCCATTCCTCGTGTAGAGTGTTCGACTTCGTGCGTGGCTTCCTAGCAAAATGATCCAGGATGCTCCTCGATGGCCCTCGCCGAAGGAAAACTGCACACGTCCGAGCGATGCCACGAAGCAACTCGCACACCGCACCCTGGCGTAACCGCACCCCTTGCAGCCGCCGAATAGATTGGGCCCCGCAGGGGCCCCCCGGCCGGCCTCGGCGCGTCGCCCGGGCGAGGGCGGCGCCGCCCCTCGGAGAGTGCGGGCAGGGCCGGCGGGAGGCCCGCCCGGGGAGCGGAGCGCCCGCAGGGCGCCGCGGGAGCGGGCCGCCAGCCGGGCTCGGGTCGGTGGCCAAGGAGAAGCACATCCCCAGCCCCAAGATCGCGGATTCAGAGAGGACTCGAACGGCGGCCAAAGGCTTCGGGGCACGTCTTGCGAGCGTCGCTGTCACGCTGGTAGAACCCTGAGCCCCAGAATCTCCCGCCCCGAAGTCGCGAGGAGCCTGCGTTCTGCCTTGGCCCTCGCGTGTTTGGGATTGGGCGTCTGTCTTGGCTTTGCGAGGGTCGGGCAGGTGCCCCCCGGCAGGCGTGGCTGCCACGGCAGTGGGCCCGCGAGCAGTCCTGCAGCCAACCCAGACAGTGAGGAGGCGCGGTGAGGGTGCCTGGGCCTCGCACGCCCACGTCGGAGCCTTGCGAGCGGGGCGCGGCCGGCGAACGTGTCCGAGGGTGGCCCCAGGAGGCAAGGATGCAAGGGCACCCTCGGGAGGGATGCCTATCCTTGCTATGCGGGTCGACTGCATCATTGGATTGAACATGTGCTTGAAATGCGCAAGACATGTTCTGACAAAAAAGTGGCAAGCATGTGCTGGCATAAGTTAAAGCGTGTTTGAAACATTGTTTTAGACATCTGGAAATCGTTGGGCAGCATGCTTCCTCTCCATGAATCGGCTTCCACAACCCTGCAGGCGGATGTTGGACGAAATATTAGACATGTTCGAACAAATGCTCAAGAACAGTCAGGCAAATAGTCAACAAAAAACGTCCCCGTACTATGTTTGGACTATGTTTGAAGACTCCTCCCGTGGAGGGACATGCCCGACTCGAAGGCCAGGCTCTGTGTCGGTGGTCGGGTACTCCGGATTCCATAATGAAGTGGGGGGGGTCACATTTGGGGGGGGTCTGATTTGAGCTGTCTTGGAGGTTTCGGGGGGGTCTGGGCAAAGGGCCGCCCTTGCATGGATGGTCTGGGGGGGTCTAAAACTTCTCGACTGGGAGGGCTGTGACCCCCTCCCTTTAATTACAAAATCTGGAGTAACGCTGCCAGGATGCAGGGACGGAGCAGGGAGCCAAATCGGCCCGCACTGCGCAGCGGATCGGGCCGCATCGGCACGGAACCGGGATTCCACCAAACTGAAGGGGCCCCAGGACACACGAATAAATAGACACAAATAAAAAGATTCCCCACATTTTCACATATTTTTGGGGTTTCTGTCTTCCCCACCACTTCCCATAGTTTCCCATATTTTCTACGGGGATCGACGATTAATTGTGTCTGTGTGTGTTTTTCCCTCCTGACAAACCTGCTGCGCCAGGATGCACCGCAGCGCCGCGCGAGCCACGGGGACCGCATCGGATCGTCGGAGTGTTGGAACCGAATCGGATTCGGCAGCCAGCTGGATCCATCGGATCGAATGGGACCCCGTGTGTGGGGAAGCCAAGAGGAGCTGCCACAGGTGCGATCTGACTTCAAGACGAACCCAGCCGTGACGACAAGGGCCTCCCAGGAGACCAGAAAGACAAGCGAGCAGGAGGGAACGGTGGCGGGATCGATACCTGCTCCTCGGATCAAGAGCCTCGGGCGGCCAGCACGCCCTCGACGAGGCGCGGCTGCTGGAGACCACCCTGGGGCTCCGAAACGCCTGGAACCTCCTACAGACGTCCGAGAACTCACGGTTCACTTCCTCCTCCGAGGTCGACGTACGGCAGGCTCGCGTCGCGTCGACCCCGACGTGGGTTTTCCTGGCACCGCGGGAACCCTTCGGACCTGAGCGCTCGGCCGTTCCGTGAGCGCTCGGCTCGCTCCGCGGCGGGCCGAGCCCGGGCCACGGGCGGCGTTCCACCTCCAACGCACGCGAAGGGGGCCGCCGCAGGGTCGGCACGGCGCGAACCTGCCGCACCTGCTCGGAGCAAGGCCCCACCCAGGAGGGCCGAGAAGCGAATCGATACGTCGGGTCGGAGATCGCAACCCAATCGGGTCGGCGGAAGCAGGCAGCCGAGCCGGGACGAGTCGAAAATTGGCGGGAGTCGGCAGGCCAGCAGGCCTCCACTGAGGAGCAGGCAGCCACGTCTAAAGGGAAATTAGGACACACAAATAAATACACACAAATAAACATAGTCCCCATATTTTCCCATATTTTCTGGGTTTTTGTCTTCCCCCCCAATTCCCATATTTTCCCATATTTTCCTGGGAATCGAGGATTAATTGTGTCTGTGTGTTTTTTTCCCTCCTGAACGTCGGAATCCCAGGCCGTGCCGAATCGGAGTCGCACCCGCTCTGCCCGTCCCTCTCCGGCCCCGCCGAGCTCTCCTGCGCGCGGAGACGGCCCGCCGCTCGCCATCGCTCGGACGTCCACTCCCTGTGCTCTCTTCGGTCCCCGTGCGTGCTCTTCTCGCCAAATGACCAAAGGATGCTCCTCGATGGTCCTCGCCGAAGGAAAACATGCACACGTCCGTCAGGAGGGGAAAAAGCACACACAGACACAATGAATCGCCGACTCCCAGGAAAGGATGGGGAAACATGGGAAGTGGGGGGGGGAAGACAGAAACCCAGAAATTATGGGAAAATATGGGGAATCCTGTTACCTGTGTGTATCTATTTGCGTGCCCTGGGGCCCCTTCAGTCCGAGCGATGCCGTGGGGCCGCGCCCCCCGCGCGCCCCCCCCCCCTTGCGCTGCCCCCCACGGCCGTCGGAGCCTCACGGGGGGGGGGGCAGCGGCGCCGGAGAGGAGGAGGAGGAGGAGGAGGAGGAGGAGGATGAGGAGGAGGAGGAGGAGCTCGGGGGAGCGCGCGCGACGGGGCGCGCGCGCCTCGTCGGCCCCCCCCCCCGCGCGTCGCCAGGCAGAGCTCTCGGGAGGGTCGCGCGCGCCTCGTTCGCCCCCCTCCCCCCGCGAGTCGCCGGGCGGAGCTCGGGAGCGCGCGCGTCGGGTCGCGCGCGCCTCGTTTGCCCCCCCCCCCGCGCGTCGCCGGGAGCACCAGCTCGGAGCACGTCGCACGGGCGGAGGAGCACACGCGCAGCCCGCGACTCGGGCAGCCCCTGCGCCCCGTCACGGGAGGAGGGCGGAGGAGCAGGGCGCAGGCGGTCGGGGCAGGGCCGAGGCGGAGCGTCGGCGCACTGCGCCGAGGTGTCAGCGGTGCGCTGCGCTCGCCGTCGCGGCTGCGCGGCCGGCGCCGGACGCGAGCGAGTGGGCGGCCAGGGCACGCTCCGAAGACGGATACCTTCAGCTGCAGGCTCAAAGGCCATGCCGATGGCGGCCCACATCGGCGCCCTCGCCCTGGCGTGTCGCACATCGACGACACCCCGACTGGCGCACGGATCGGGAAACTACTCACACAATTGTTACAATTCTGGAAATGTGTTCGTTCAGGTCTGGTCGACGGAAAAATGCAGGCGAACGCCAGCGGTGCATGAAAATTCGGCGCCAGAATTGCCGCGCGCTCGCTACGCTGCGACCAAGGCCGAGTCCTCCTGAATGCTGCCGAGGAGCTTGGACTGCTTGCTCTCCCCGCTCTTCTGCCGCTGGAACTCGCTGGCTCCGCTAAGCTGCCGCTCAAACTGCGACTCCAAAGCCACCGACTTCTGGATTGTCTCCCCTTGAGAATGGACATAGAGATCGTGGACAAGGGCGAGGACGCAGTACAGGCCCGAAGGCATGAGGAGCGTCCAGAGCTTGAAGGCGTTGTACGCGATGGAACCCAAGCACGCGCCTCCAATGAATCCGGCAAGGAGAAGACTCATGAGAATCACCTTGTTTCTGTCCGCGGTATGCTCTTCCCAGTCTTCTGGCGCAAAGTTCCTGCACTTAGTTAGAAACCTGGAGATGATTCGACCAATGGCCAAACCCAGGTCCGTGCCCGTTCCGGTCATGTGAGTCGTGCGAATGACGTTTCCGCTCCAAGACGAGCAGAGCCCGTTCTGAAGGCCGCAGCCAAGGGCCAACAGGTGCGCGCCGAGAAGACCGTGGCCGCTCAAGACTATCGGACTGGCCATGATGAGCGCGAGCATCATGAGGGCAGACGAGTAGGGCGCCTTGCCGATCTTGAGCGTCGCCTTGGGGATGAGCAGGCCGCACAGGGTCGACCCAACGATGAAGTCGAGAACGAGCAGCGCGGGCGTTGGCACGTCCCCAGGCTGATCTCCGAACTGGCGGAGCCCGATCGCTGTAGAGGAGCCGGAGACGTGGCTGACGTACGTACTGAACTTGGCAAACGCCACAGCATTGACCATTCCAGCGCAGATCGCCAGGGTCAAGCCGCTAACGTGCACGCCGATCTTCTCACTGTTGTTGCTGATGGCGTCGAGCACTGCAAGCCTCTCCTGGAGCGCGGCGCGGAAGTGGCGGCTGTCGAGCGCCTCGCCTATTGACCCCAAAGCCTCGTCGCTGATCATCAATGACTCCGAGCGCTGCAACGTGCTGGGCATCTTCGCGGAAAGGGAGGACTTCTTCCGCTCGCGAGCGAGCAAACAGGACTCTAAACCACCGGATTGAGCTAAGCAACTTGAGCCAAATGGCTACGGTTAGGTCGGGCATGTCCCCCTACAGGCGGATTTTGGATGACACATTGAAAATAGCAGCAACAACAACAACAACAATAATTTTAAGACTGTTCGCTCTTATCTGCTCGCGTGTCATTCAATATACATATCCCAAACCCTGGATACCCGCCCTCTTCGTCTTCGATCGTACCCCCTTTTGGGGGTATATTCATTCCCTGCCACGTGTGGTTGGTGAAGCCCTTGAAAACGAAAGCTAACAGATAACGGGGGACAATGAGGACGAAGCGATCGGAGGGAGGGAAGGGGTAAGAAGGAGAGAGGACGATGATTTGCGCTGTGAGTGGCGATTCAGCTTGCGCCAGCCACTCCAGACACTAACGGGCTGGTCGGGCGGGCAGGCCCAAAGGGGCGGGTCGAGCGGGCGGGTCGTTGAAGCGTAAATTCTGCTTGAACCGCCAGGCAAGATGTAGCGGGAGCGCGACTCCTGGGTGTCGAGGAGCGGCAGCTAAATAAATTGTGAGGAAGTATCAGGCGGGAGCCGCGATTCGGTGGTAAGTTGCGAGGAAGTCGAAGTCCCAAGCGAGAGCACGATTCTTCAATAAATTATGAGGAAGTATCAAGCGGGAGCCGCGATCCGGTGGTAAATTGCAAGGAAGTTCAAAGCGAGAGCGCGATTCTTCAATAAATTGTAAGGAAGAATCAGGCGGGAGACGTTGTTGTTGTAAACCGGGGGCCAACAACGCAGTTTGACCCTCAAGACCTTCCCTGATAAAAAAACAGAGTGCGAGCCCCCGAAAGGGCACTTCAATCGCAAAAAAAACAATGTGCACCGGACGGGGGGGGATCAACCATAACCAGTCTTCAGAAACAAACGAGAGTTCTACAACAACAAAATGACAACAAGATATCAACCCAGGCTATGCTCTACTATTCTTGAACATCCCTCCTGTGGGGGGACAGGCCCGACGTGAGGCCACGGAGGGAGCGCACGTCGGCTCGAGCCGCGTCGGGCACGGAGCCTCGGGGGCGTCCGAGGAGGGGGCGTGCAAGCGCAGGGCCCGCGGCTCGTGGCCCGAGGCGCGTGCGCACAAGAGAGGGGGGGGGGGCGTACCGAGGCCGCGCCGACGGCGACGGTGGTGACCAGGGGGCCCTGAGACACACAAAGAAATACACACAGATAAGAGGATTCCCCATGATTTCCCACATGGTCTGGGCTTTTTGTATCTTCCCTCCCCCACACTTCCCATAATGTGTCCCCATCTTCCGGGGAATCGACGAGGGACTGTGTCTGTGTGTGTGTTTGTTCCCCTCCTGAGTGTTGGGAATCCGGCTTCTGTGACGCCGAGCTCGCGCAGAGCGGGTGGCAGGACACCGCAGAGCCGCGCGAGAGAGCGCGCTGCAGGCACGAGCTGCGCGCGCGCACCGAGCGAGACACGACGCAGCGAACCGTGGAAGACGACGCGAGCCGCGCCCTCCTGCAGTGGGCCTGGCCACGGACCACGCCGTCCGGCCACCGGCTGCCCCGCGTCGCCGTCAGCGGACACCCCGCTCAGCGCGTGCACGGGCGCCCCGCGTGGCCGCCGCGGCGGCCCCGGCGACACGCTGCGACGGGCCCGCTGCCCACCACCGCCACCGTCCGCTGGAGGGGGGAGGGGGTCCTCCTCCCCCCATTTCTGCGCCCTCCTCCTCCAACCTCCATGGAGGAAAAAGAGCCATGCACGTACACCGACTCTGGCCAGGCCCATCCAGAGCCCAGGATCGGCGCGTACGCCCTCCTGCCCTGGCCAGGAAGGCACGTGCACCGATCCTGGGTCAAGGATGGGCCTTGCCAAGGTCGGTGCATGTGCATAGTTCTCTTCGCCCGATTGACATGAGAAAAGGGGGCCCCAGAGCACGGCCCTCACGATGCCCCAACCTGCCTCCCGCAGGCCCCCGAGGGACCGTCCGTGACGTCCCAGCGAACATCCTGGAGACCTGTGACCCGCAACCCGGGCACGGTCGTGGGATGGGCCGAAGGCCATTGGACCTGGGCCGGCACGGGAACGGGAAGAGCGCCTCGGCGAGGGCTCATGGCACCCTTCGCTCTTGGGAGCGCCTTGGTGTGAAAAACTTGCTACGTCGCCGCTCTCCGTTGGGAGCCCTGGTTTTCAGAGACTGTTACGTTGCCGCTCGTTCTTAGGAGCCTTGGTGTGACGAGCTTTGTACGTCACTGCGCTCTGGGGAGCCTTGGTGTCAACAGCTTCTTACGTCACCGCTCTTTGATGGGAGGCATGGTGTTCTTGAGCGTCTCCTGGGCCTCTTGGGGGTCCTGGGGGCCCGTATGGAGCCCTTTTGGAACCTTTTAGTGCAATGTTGGGCCGTCTTGGGGCCGTTTTGGGCCGTCTAGGGGCGTCTTGGAAGCCTTTGGCCGTCTTGGGGCTCTCTTGGGGGCCTCTTGGGAGCCTCCTTGGGGCCTCTTTGGGTTTCTTGGGAGCCTCCTTGGGGCCGTCTTGGGGTCCTCTTGGGGCCGTCCTGGGGCCTTCTGGGGCTGTTTGGGGGCCCTCCTGGGCCGTCTGGCGGCCCTCTCGAACCGTTTTCGGTTCCTTTGGGGCGCCTCTCGGGCCGTCTTCGGACGAGCTGCAGGACCTCATGGACCGTGCTGGGCCCGTCTGGGCCCGAAAGACCTTCAAAAACCATTGGGAAATCAATGTTTCTGTTGGCTCCTGAAGCCGTCTCGAGGGCCGTCAGGAGGGTCTCCGGAGCCGTCTCGAGGCTCTCTGGGACCGTCTGGAGGCCATCCAGAGCTCTCTTGGGGCAGTCTTTGGGTCGTGTTGGTGCCCGCTTGAGCCGTCTTGGGGCCCTTGAGCCGCTTCACTCGGAAAAATATAAGGATACGGGCCGTGGAAGGCGCCCGCGAGCCGCTTCACTCGAAACAAATACGAGGGAAACGGCCCCCCGGCGGCCATTGACGCCCCAACTCGCGGTCCTCGACCCTCCCTCCCCTGGACCCCTCCATAGAGGGCTTCGCCCCACCAAAACGTCCTCACTCATAAGTCGATCTTTCCGTTACCTGGACCGGCACGGAAACGGAAAGAGCGCTGCAAGAAATGACGCGAGATGGCTCACGGCACCCTTTGCTCTTGGGAGCCTTGGGCCGTCTGGCAGCCCTCTTGGACCGTTGTCGGCCCCTTTGGGGGGCCTCTTGGGGCCGTCTTGGGGCCATCTGCGGCTGTTTGGGGGCCATCTTGGGCCGTCTTCGGGCCCTCTTGGACCGTTTTCGGTCCCTTTGGGGTGCCTCTGGGGCTGTCATGGGACGAGCTTTGGGGCCTCGTGGGCCGTGTTGGGCCCGTCTGTGCCCGAAAAGGCAAGAACCCTAAAAACATTCAAGAACCACAGGGAAATCAATGTGTTTGGCCTCCTAGGCCCTCTCGAGAGCCTTCTGGAGGGCCTCTGGAGCCGTCTCGAGGCTCTCTTGGACCGTCTGGAGGCCATCTGATGCTCTTTGGACCGTCTTTGGGTCGTATTGGTGCCCTCTTGGGCCGTCTTGGGGCCCTTGAGCCGCTTCACTCGAAAAAATACGAGCAAACGGGCCATGGAAGGCGCCGGGAGCCGCTTCACTCGAAAACCTGGGCCAGCACGGGAACGGAAAGAGCGCTGCAGCAACATGCCCGAGAGGGCTCATGGCACCCTTCGCTCTTGGGAGCCTTGGTGGTAAGAGCTTGTGACGTCACCGCTCGCTCTTGGGAGCCTTGGGGCCCTCTTGGAGCCCCTTTGGGGTCCTTTTGGTGCCCTCTTGGGCCATCTGAAGGCCCTTTTCGGCTGTCTTGGGGCGTCTTGGAGGCCTTGGTCCGACTTGGGCCTCACGAGGGCCCAAGCCGTCTCCGAACAAAATGGGCATGGATGTCCAAATTGTCCGGGCGCCGGGGGGCACTTGAAGGTACTGACAGAAGCGCCATAATCGTCGTCGTCATCATCATCATCATCATCATCATCATCAGCAGCAGCACCAGCATCATCATCATCATCATCAGCACCAGCATCATCATCATCATCATCATCATCATCATCATCATCATCATCATCATCATCATCATCATCATCATCATCATCATTGTCATTGTCATCATCATCATCATCATCATCATCATCATCGTCATCATCGCGTCCCTGGAGACCTGAGCCCCGAGGTCCCTGGAGCCAGCAGTCCTCTGTACTGATTGTACTTTACCCCCGAAGATGGCCCCAGGATGGTTCCAAGATGGCCCCAAGAGGGCCCAAGCCGTCTCCGAACAAAATGGACACGGATGTCCAAATTGTCTGGGTGTCGGGGGGCACTTGAAGGTACTGACAGAAGCGCCACAATCGTCGTCATCATCATCATCATCATCATCATCATCATCATCATCATCATCATCATCATCTCATCATCATCAGCCGTAGCATCATCATCAGCATCATCAGCATCACCCACAGTATCATCATCATCAGCATCATCAACCACACCACCACCACCACCACCACCACCATCATCATCATCATCATCATCATCATCATCATCATCATCATCATCATCATCATCATCATCATCATCATTATCATTGTCATTGTCATCATCATCATCGCGTCCCTGGAGCCCTGAGCCCCGAGGTCCCTGGAGCCAGCAGTCCTCTGTACTGATGTTACTTTACCCCCGAAGATGGCCCCAGGGTGGTTCCAAGAAGATGGCCCCAAGAGGGCCCAAGCCATCTCCAGACAAAATGGACATGGATGCCCAAATTGTCCGGGCGCCGGGGGGGCACTTGAAGGTACTGACAGAAGCGCCGTAATCGTCATCACCATCATTCATCATCAGCAGCATCATCATCATCATCATCAGCATCATCATCATCAGCATGTGGCGTTAGTCCTCCTCCTCCTCCTCCTCCTCCTCCTCCTCCCCGTCCTCCTCTTCATCCTCCTCCTCCTCCTCCTCCTCCTCCTCCTCCTCCTGCTCCACCTCCTCTTAAGCTTTCTTCCATCTCGTCCTCTCTTCCTCTTTCTCCTCCCAAGAGTTTCCCCAAGCGTTTCCACAACGGCTCAAGGAACACACTGTCCGATAGAATGTCTAAATTCTGGACAAAACTCAGTCACCTCGGCGCGTCCAGAAGGGCAGGGGGCGGCGGTGGTTCGCCGTACAGTCGAGGTTGCTTGGAGAGGACACGCGAGAGGACACAAGACACCTCCGAGGGCCACAATGCCATAGGAATGTAGAAGACATGGGTCGCGAAGCACAGGACACAAGGGTACCCTTGCTGTGGCAGGGCCGCCCTACTCATCAGCTTCGACTCCAGGCGTCTTCGATAAAAAAGGGGGACTCTCGGATGCCCCTTTTTGGCGCCAACGGCGCCTGTGTGCACGAGGAGGGCTAGAGGAACAACCACGAAATGGCCTCAGGAACAGCGAGCCCCTTCCGAACCCCAAAGCGGTCCTTACTTCAGCGTCTAGGGCGTAGGCGTCTTCGACAAGCAGAGGGGGCACTCGCACGCCCTTGATTTGGCAGGTCGACATACTAACCAGCCTCGACTGTAAGCAAGCATCTTCGATGGGAAGAGATGCGAGGCGGGGATTTATCAATGTCCACCGCCTGGGAACAGGCGTCACTGCACCGACCTCGCAGACGTGCTGCAGCGAATGTTTGCGTGGATTTCTGTCGATGCCAAAACCCGAAACGGCGAGCGAAAAACGAAATGAATTTCGCGTGGATTATGTTTAGTCTTCATTCCTGGCCAAGAAAATCCGCACGAAATTCACCTCGAAATCTGGAACGAAATTCTCCAGCACACTCCGGGCCCATCGGATCGTTGTCCAGACGAAATTTGCTCTGCGATGTTGGCGCGGGCCCCAACAGGCGGTGGATATGCACATACGTTGGCCCCCGGGAGCGCGAACCTACCCGCATCCACAGCCCGCGGAGGTCCGCGACGAGCGACCTCCCCATGGCGGGGGCCGTGGCCAAGTCCCCGCCTCGGAGGGGCAGCCGAGTCGGGACGAGCCGGATCGGCGGACATCCGCAGGCCAGCAGGGCCTCCACCGAGAGGGAGCGGAATCCGACACCGGAGCCCGAAGTCGAACCGAATCGAAATCGAAACATCCGTTCAAGTCGAAATCGGATCGGAGGAATCGAAAATGAGCCCCGGAGGAGAGACCTCGGATGCCCTGGGGCCCTCGGCGGCGGCGGCGCTCCTGCCACCCGCCCAGCGGGCCGCCCCCCTCCAGGAAGCCGCGGCGCCCAGCGGGCGCTATCTGGCGGACAGGAAGCGGAGGCAGACATGCTCCTCCTCCCTCCTCCAGTTTCTCCTGCTCCTCCCCCCCCCCTCCTGCTCCTCCTCCTCCTGCTCCTCCTCCTGTTCCTCCTCCTGCTCCTCCTCCCCCTGTTCCTCCTCTTCCTCCCTCCTCCTCCTCCTCCTCCTCCTCCTCCTCCTCCTCCTCCTCGTCCCCCTACGTCTCTTCCTCCTGCTCCTTCCTCCTCCTCCTCCTCCTCCTCCTCCTCCTGCTCCTCCTCCTCCTCCATTCCTTCTCCTGATAGATAATTTCTCCCTGTCGCACCCCGGGGCCAGTTTTTTGGGCGGGCCGGGTTTTTCGCCTAAGACTCCCTCACCAGTCAAAATTATGAAACCAGTCACATTATTCGCCTAAGACTCCCTCACAGATGGAGGGCGGGTCGTTTTCAAAATGTGGTTCTCGCCGTAGCGCCGCGCACATTCGTTTTAAACATTTGCAGAAGTTCCACGGATTCAGGGCGGGTGGTTTTCAATATGTGGCTCTCGCCGTAGCGCCGCGCACATTCGTTTTTGAAATCTGCAAGAGATTCACGGATTCAGGGCGGGTGGTTTTCAAAATGTGGCTCTCGCCTTAGCGCCGCGCACATTCGTTTTGAAAAAGTGCAAGAGCTTCTCGGATTGAAGGCGGGTGGTTTTCAAAATGTGGCTCCGCCTTAGCGCCGCGCACATTCGTTTTGAAAATGTGCAAGAGCTTCACTGATTGAGGGCGGGTCGTTTTCAAAATGTGGCTCTCGCCTTGGCGCCGCGCACAATCGTTTTTTTCAAAAAACTTGCAAGGGCTTCACGGATTGAGGGCGGTTCCTTTTCACCGTAGCGCCGCGCACATGCGTTCAAGATTTGCCAGGTTTTCAAGATTTCCCATGATCAATGTACCAGGAATGGTGTTTTGGAAGGGTTCCGGACTTTGCGGGCACAATAATTATGTTGATTCGCTGTGTTGAAATCCCAAAAATGGCGTTCTGGTACGATTCTGGATCGTGTTGATACGTGGCGTTGAAATCCCGAGAAGGATGTGTTGGCAAGCTTCAGGATCTTCAAACGGTTGCCTTCCAACGAGGCAGTTCCCTCAATGGAAATGAACCAGTACGAGCCTATGAAAAAGGGAGCTTGCAAGGAGAGTTAGCCCCAACATCGTTAATGACTCTTGGGTTTCTACTGGTCCTTCTGCCTCTCCTCCACCTCCTCCTCCTCCACCTCCTCCTCCTCATCCTTTTCCTCTTCCTTCTTTGCATTAGTATGATTCTTCGTATTATTCGTATTAGTCGTATTGCTGATATGATTCGTGTGTTTCTGACTGTCCGCCTTAATGCTCGCATTAGTATTGTTGTTGTTAATATCATTAAAAATACCATTGTTCTCTAGATCAGTAGTGTCAGTATCATCATGATTGCTATTCGTAGTAGTATGGTTATTATTAATACGATTCTGAATATAATTACAAAGATCAGTATTGCTGATATTATTATCAAAATTTATCCTCCTCCAAGTTATGTTCCTCCTCCTCGTAAAAAATCATAATATTCGTATGTTCGTATGGTTCTAAGTAGTATTAGTATTGTTGTTGTTCTTCTCATTCATCCTCTTATTATTGATAATCTTCTTTTCGACAAACATTAGTATACTATTAATGTGTTTTTTCTTCTTCGGATTCGCCTTCTTATTCTTAGTAGCATTATTATTGGTCGTACTCTGAGTAGTAGTCTTATGCGTAGTCTAACTATTACGTAGTATTCTTATTTTCGTGGTACACATATTATTCGTATTCGTCTTATTCTTATTATTGTAGGTGCCTTGTTTTTCTTCTCCCTCTTCCTCCTCCTCCTCCTCCTCCTCGTCCCCTTCCTCCTTCTCCTCCTCGCCCTCCACTGCCCCCCCCCTTCCCCTTCTCCGGCGGCCGCAGCAAACTCTGGAAGAACTGGTTAAGGGCTACGAGGCCCAAGTTCGTTGGCCCGTGGGCTGGGTTAGACCAGAAAAACCGAGGATGAAGCGTGACCTGATTCAGGGGGATGAAGCGGGACCCAGCTGAATTATGTTGGACAAAGCCAGTCCTCCTCCTCCTACTCGTTATTCCTCCTCCTCGTCCTCCTGTTCCTCCTCCTCTTCGTCCTCCTCCTCCTCCTCGTCCTTGTCCTCCTCCCTCCATACAACGACTACGTCGCGTTGCTCGATACTCGGCACTCGTCCTCTCTCCTCCTCTTGCTCCTCTTGCTCCTCCTCCTCCTCCTCCTCATCATCACCATCCTCCTCCTCCCCCTCCTCCTCACCCCCTCCATCTCCGCGTTTTGCAACCCCTCCTCGCCATGCTCGACCACGGATATCAGTGCTGATGCTGGCATCGACCTCCCCAAGGGCAGCCATGCTCGCGTGGCGACGATAATGGTAATGATGATAGCATTGATAATGACCAGAAATCTGGAGATTGAAGGTCTTGGTGATGATAAGGATGATGATGATGATGATGATGATGCTGATGATGATGATGATGATGATGATGATGATGGTTTCTCCGGCGGGTGTTTGAACGTGAGGAGCAGGTCGTAAGCGTCAGTCGGGTTGTCTGGGCTCTGGCGGGAAACTAAGCACGCAGCTTTCTGGCAGATGGCATTCCACGAGAGCGGTGGGGGACCGGAACGCCAGCAGAGATGGCTGCTCAGAACACTCTCACGCCCAGCAAAGAATCTGGAGAGTGCCACAGTGGAACTCATAACGTTTGAAGTCATGCAATGTTTGCGCAGCATCATGTCGATGGCCCGATCTTCCCTACTCAGACCAGCAGGAAGCATACCCTCAAGATGCTGGAAAGACCCTGCTGCAGAATGAGCGGGAGCGGCATCGGCCGAGCCAGACTTGGAAAAGCTAGGAAGAACATGAACCGCACAGAACTCAGAGATGTCTTCATCAGCATCGCCATCTTCACCACGAGCCTTCTTGCGAGGTGGCGACCCTTTAGGAAGAACATCGGCACTTCTATCCAGAACTTGATCTCCAGCAGCCGCAACAGCTTCAAGAAATGAGCGCCTTCACCAGGAACAGCACGAGCACCTCCAGAAACAAGAAATGCACCATCACCTTCGGAAACGGGAAAGCCACGTAGCTTCACGGGGCCAGGCCGAACAGCAACACCTCCACGACGCCCAGGAAGATCAGCAGCACCGTCAGCCCCAGCACCTTCACGATGAAAATCGGCTATGTCAGGAAGAAGGGCACCAGCACCGCCAGGGAGAGGGACGGCACAATTTGGAAGAACAGCCCCACCGCTGTGATCAGGTGAACTGCTCGAACTCGAACAGGAAGGTTACGAACACCAACAGCTTCAGGAAGGTCAGGACGACCGTAGTCATGAGCACCTGCGCGAACTCGAGCGGCGCCCGCTGGCGGACGACACCGAACACCGAGAGCAGCAAGAACCCGAACAGCAGGATCAGCACCTTCAGGAAGATCAGCACCTTCAGGATGAGCAGCACCAGCACCTTCAGAAACAGAACCGCCAGGGAGCTCCACAGGACAAGGATGATCAGCAGCCTGCTTCGGTAAAAGCTGCAACACCACACAGCTACACCTCCACTGTCACGGACTCGATCGTCAGCAGCCGGCAGACCCGGAAGAGCGAGACCAGCAAGTCTTCGATCGGCAGGATCGGCACCAGGAGAATCAGCCCCAAACGGAGCAGCGTCATCATGATGATCAAGCCACAACGAAGCCCAGGGACAGGACGCAGCACAAGAGAGACGATGCAATCGTCCGTGGAGGATTTGTGCGCATGGTCCGATGCCTCAACAGCTGGGAGTTCCGAGGCCACGTGCATGAGCCAACTGACCAGGAAGCCGTTGTACAGTTCCTAATCCCACTCGTTCTGGAGGCGGATGTGCAGGACAGCCTTCTGAACGTGCGAGTTGAAGACAAAGTGCACCTTACGACCTTGACGAATCTGCTGAATAAGCCACTCCAGCCGAGCCAGTGTGACCATCCAGCACGTGGAATGGGCGATGACAAAGCAGCAGAGAGCGCACGTGCGCGGTATGGGCCATTGACCCCAGCAAACGCCAGAGCCAAAATGGCTATGATGATAATGAGGATGAGAATGATGATGATGATGACGATGATGATGCTGATGATGATGATGATGATGATGATGATGATGATGATGACGACCGTAAACAAAAACTCTCGATGAAAAGACACTTCTGGGGAAAGGGGTAAAGGTACAGGCTGAGTGGGCTCCGCCCCCTTGGCGGAGTTATCGAACCTCTCCAAGCCACGCATGGCAGTTGCAGCCAACTGATATGCTAGGTTAGGCGCAGCGCGAGCGCAGGCTGGCGGGAAGGGGTTCCCCCTCGACTCAAGGTCGACTCGACTCAAACCGACAGACGTACGACCCAGCATCGCCGCGTGGAGTGGAGCGAGCGCCTCCATGAAAGTCTCCAACACGAACTTCTAACCCTTCAAACCGACAGACGTACGACCCAGCATCGCCGCGTGGAGTGGAGCGAGCGCCTCCATGAAAGTCTCCAACACGAACTTCTAACCCTTGGGCCGCGGGCCCGTGCTGCTCCTGGGCCAGTCGAGCCGCTAAGTGTGAGGGCCTGCTGCTCCAAAGCAACCGACGTCCCAAAATCCTCGTCGATCTGTTTTTCCCAACCATCCTGTGGTGTTGGGTCATTGGTTTGAAGAGACAGCGCCCCGCGCCTCCTTCCTCTCCTCCTCCCCCTCATCCCTCCTCCCATCCTGGCCTCTGCCCTCCGTATGCCCACCACTGCAGTACACCCTCACACGTTTTGCATGTCCCCATGGGGAGATCCACCGAAGGCCCCAGAGGCCGCGTTCGCATGCGTCCGCGCCACCCAGTACAGCGCTTCGTAGTTCCATAGGGAACTCCATCGAAGGCCACAGTGGCCGCTGCCGCATGCGCCCGCGCGGCCTAGCACAGCGACTGTGGCCCCATAGGGAGCTCCACCGAAGGGCCCAACGGCCGCGTTCGCATGAGTCCGCGCCGCCCTGTATAGCGCTTCATGGCCCCACGGGAGCTCGAGCGAATGCCCCAAGACCGCGTTCGCATGCGTCCGCGCCACCCAGTACAGCGCCTCACGGCCGCATATGGGGAGCTCCACCGAAGTCCCCAATGGCTGCGTTCGCATGCGCCCGCGCCAACCAAGGCCCCAATGGCCGCGTCCGCATGCGTCCGCGCCACGCAGCACAGCGCTTCGTGGCCCCACATGGAGCTCCACCGACTGCGTTCGCATGCGCCCGCGCCACGCAGTACAGCGCTTCGTGGCCCCATAAGGAACTCGACCGAATGACCCAATGACCGCTCGCATTCGTCCGCGCCACGCAATACACGGCTTCATGGCCCCATTGGGAAGCGCACCGATGGCCCCGGTGGCCGCGTTCGCATGCGCCACCCCGACCCAGTACCGCGTGCCGTGGCTATCCAGGGAGCTCCACGGAAGGCCCCAGTGGCCGCGTTCGCATGCGTCTCTCCCGCCCAGCACGGCTCTTTGT